GGGATGAATTGACCCGTTTTAACAGTAGGTTTACGGGAGATTCTTTATCAGATTTTTGTTACAGAAACAATGCTTGGACACGTGATGTCGATTTATGAAAGTTAACACTAAACCTACCTGACTACTTAAAGAGACTTTTCCTTAATTTTCTAAGAAATTTAATTGTGAGTTGAATGGTAGGTTTAATGTAATTATGAAATACTATATAAATATTCTCGTCAAAATAACGTATATTATTGAATTATATATCAAATCTCTACTAGAGAGTTAATCTGATCAAATTGAATTGTAAATATCAACGAACAGCTTTTTAATTCATCGAAATACACGGTCTTGCGCTTAATTGTTTCTCGAGCACACGTGTCGGTTTGATTCCGTCCCTACTTTTCTCGAATCCGGTATATCTTCACTTTCTTCATCCCCGCTGTATCTGGCTGAGCGCGTGTGCGGTCGACGCGTCAATTACATCTGAATCGAAGGCGTCGTCTCATCGTGATTACGTCGCAAAAACAAAAGCTGCTCGACTTTCGTCGATCGGTTCGATTAGGAGAGGGTCTGACGGCGCGTCCACTCGCTCGCATGATCGTTCAGCAATCGTCACATGGTCCCTAATAACCGTGCATCGACCGTACCTTCGATCGAGAAACCGCAGATACTTGTATCGCTTCCGTTCTCTTCGTTGAATTCAAACTTTCCTCGAAATACAAGCGTACCGTGCATGACAGGATGAAACTGAACCTCCAAACTGTACGATACTCTGTAATTTACAAAAGAAGACATATCAGAAAATGTTCGAATGATTTGTTTCTGTCGAATGAATATTTTGTATCTTTATTATAATATTGGGTTGTTCGGAATGTCCATGCCGATTTTTGGTAGATGGTACAGGTCTGAATATATCGAAGTGATTGAAAACAAATAACATGTACATCCCTTAAAAGGTATAAAGGTTGTGGAACAAAATGGCACCTATGTAATTCAATAAATATATATTAAAATTCAAACGTGTTTTTGAAGTTTCCTCATAAATTGGCACGAACTTTCCGGACAACCTAATAATAACGTATAATTATCTCGTAGAACGTAACAGTGCAGTTTGTAGAGTTTGGTTCGTCTCGGTTGCAACGCACGGTTTCATTGTTAATTGTACGAACAAGCGTAGGACTCAGGGATTTATGAATGATTCGGTGGAGTGAATGAACGTGGCTGGCGCATGCGCCCCGCCAGATTCCATTCCCATTCCGATTCTCGCTTCTATTCTCATCGCTTTATCCTTTTCCCCGGCCTCTGCCCGGCCACCGTGAACACACAACAGTTTTAGAATTCATAAAAAGATCCTACGCTCCGAGTGGAACCCTTATCAAGTCCTCCAACCAACATGCAGCAACGGGAACGCACATTACTCCCGTCCGTTAGAAAATATTTGCACAATCGTGACGTCTCTCCTGGTAAATTAGACCGTAGAGCGTTGTAGTTTCCAGTTCCTGGCGGGCGCAGCCCTTTCAAAGTCGGATAAGGAAGAGATAAAGTCGCTTTACCCCCCGCGCAGTTTATCTGTCCTCAGAAATGGTCCTAAACAATCTTCTTGTCGCGGAACATAGACGAACCTGTAACGAAACTTATTTTTAGAGCATTCATTCTAAAGAAAAAAAATACTATTGCATCTATAGCTTTCATTGCACGTATCGCCAATTATCGGTGTCAATCATCATGTTCGGATAATCGAACGATGAAAATATGAACAGTGAACACGTGTTTTAGACTGGAACGCGCCACGAATCGATAATCGCTGTCCGTATGAGACTTGCGCGTCGATACAATGAGGAAAAAAAATATTTGAAATGCATGTAACGGTTGCAATAGGAGGTTGCAGCTTGTAGGTACAAGCACCGAACGCAGGCCTCCCTTTTTAAAATTCCCAGCTGACAGTCAAAAGGCGACAATGCTGCTGAATATTGAACGCGATGTTCCTTTGGAATGCCATTCTTCATGAATGACCAAGACAACATTCGCGGGGTTACGATATCCTTTATAAAAATTACTTCTCTGTGATTAAACGCGATGGCTGCAGAGATTTGATATATTTAATATTTAATGAATTTTACGATCCGCTGCGAGAAAAACGCACAGGATACGTCATTGTGCGACGATAATCCAAGAAAAATGCGCCACGAGCACCTGCCACTTATTTCATCTGGTTTCCTCCGTCCTTTTTTACACCCTCGCTCTTCCTTAGCGTCCATTAAACGTGGCTCGCCTCCACGGAGCAGAATGAAAGGGCAAGTGTTTGCCGAACAATTTCCCTCCGCGGATAATGGTTAACCCAGAGACCCATAATTTCATCGATCGAGGACTCCTGCTTGCTTTCGAATACTTCTTTTGTCTCGAACCTCCCCTGAAAACCAGAATAAGTCGATGTACTACGACAATTCTACAACGGTGTCGATTAATATAATAAATATGTACTATACGTACGGACGGTCATAAAACTATAAAATCTACAGTCTAGTATTCATCACAAAAAATCTGAGAAAATTGAATCTACAATATCATAATTTTAAAGAATCTGAATCTAAAAAGAATATTAATGCTACATCATCAAGAATAACTCGAGATTGTTAAAGTTGCGGTAATGTCATTCCAGTGATGGAATCGCGCGTGTTATAAATAAAATGCGACCATATGCTCTGCCTACGAGGTATTTATTGGCGTCTCATGCGAGCGCACTTAATTATAAACCCCCGTAACAGAGTAAACACAGGGATTCTTTAAGACCGCCCTGAAAGCATAACATCTGTTGCATTACGGGGGATTATCTTATCTCAAATTGTTTTAACGCCCTTTGGAACTCATTACGCCGGGGATTAAGGCAATCAGATTAGGCGGAGGCCAATAATACGCGTGTCCGAAAATAAAAACTGAAAGCGAACGCAGGGAGGCCGGAATCCGATCTCGATGTTACTGGATGCCATCTGTCGGTTCTTCGCATAAAGTGTTTACATTTATACGCCATTGTGAAACGTTACGTACAATTCTTTGAGATAAAATTACACATGTACTTAATCAACGTCCCACTCAGAATACAGATAGTTATTTTTAAGTGGAATTGAAGTATATTATCGATAGATTATCGATACGGTAATTGATAGATTACACATAGAATACTTAAGAGATAGAGGCATTAACCTTATGTTTAAGTATCCTTAAGTTTTGAACATTGAGAGTCTCCGATACAAATCGACAGCAGTTAATTCAAATGTCAGACAGGTCACGCGTGAACGTAAAACAGAACCGCGTTGTTGAATTTTTTTGCGCAAAATTACGGCTGGCTGTTAATTAAGCTAACGCGAAATGCGATACGTGCCAATTACATTTTAATGGGAGAGGGTTATGGTGAAGAACACACCGTAATATAACTGTTCGTTAAGAATCTCCTCGCCCACGTTAATTGGGAAGTTACTGTCGAAATTGTTAACGCGAAACGTTGAATAACCTTGATCGTAACGGAGCATTCTAATTAGCTGCTGTCTCACGACAATTAGGCGAGATACGTTTGGGAACGATCGCGCTATGGTACACCTGACTTAAACTTAGTTAACTCTGAGTCAAGTTTGAAATTTCTAGGCAATTAAGCGACTTTCAATTAGAACGAATTTGAATTTCGGGGAAAAAGGACTTCTAAGTTTTCAATTTTTATTTTCGAAACTAAACGTCGCACGAATGATCTGTAAATACAGAAAAGTTTCGTCTTGTCGTTCCCTATAAGATAATATTTTTTTAAAGTCTGCTGTTCTTACAATTTTCACGAAAAAAACGTCCCCAATGACGAACGGGTTAATGGGTGAACGCGTCGAATGGACGACGTCGTTTTTATCGAATAATTGCGGCCTTGAGCTTTCGAGCGACCCATTTCCTATTCAGCAGATTTGCAGGTTTTGTGCCCGAGACAAACGTCCAGACAACACTTTTCCCATTCGTCGCAGTCATCATCGCGGTGGCATAAAGACGGCGGCGAATACCAATCGTAAATCCGTGGACAGTGTGCTCTCAACGGCGGGCAATATTTCTTCGCTTTTTTCTCGGTTTCTATCTCGGTTACGACTATTTCCGGCCACGACGAGTGAGACAGAGGAAATTCACCGACGCTTATCCAGAGCCACGGATGCAAGAAGAAATGCCAGACGTGCTCCATCCAGCCCTCGTGTTTCCCTGTTGGACAGCAATAATATCGATGATCGGACGTTTTACACCAATATCTGCAGTGACGATCGTGACCTTTTCCGTGACCTTTCGTCGAGCAAACGTAAGCGACGAACAAAAGACTCGCTAACAGGAAACGCATCCTGAAACAGAAATTTGAGTTTTATTAGGTTAGGGAGTATAGTTGAAATGTGGTGGGAGGATGGCTGTGTTGTATAGTTGCATTGTAGTGGAAGGATGGTAGCGTGATACTAAAAATGTGTAGTTGTGAGATACAGATGCATGGTATAGTTGCAGTACAATAGCACAACGAAACAGTATAGTAGCACAATGGTACAGTATAGTTGCACAATGGCACTGTATAGTTGCACAATGGCACAATAAATGTATAGTCTCACATTATAATTGCATAGTATAGTAAAACAATAGTACATTAAATGTATAGTTGCAATGTAGTAGCACAATGGTACAGTATAGTTGCACAATGGCACAATAAATGTATAGTCGCTCAATGGCATAGTATGGTTGCACAATGGTACAGTATAGTTGCACAATGGTACAGTATAGTTGCACAATGATACAGTATAGTTCCACAATGGCAGAATAAATGTATAGTCGCACATTATAATTGCATAGTATAGTAGAACAATAGTACATTAAATGTATAGTTGCAGTGTAGTAGCATGTATAGTTGCACACTAGTATGTAGTAGCATTGTACAGTCTTCTGTATAACATAATTATTTAAATAACATGTTAATTCATATTATAATAGAATAACAAACAATAGAAAAATGCAGAGAATTTGTTAATCTCATGTGTGTAATTATATTATAATTGATTTAATTTACCTCGAAAAAAATCGTGGAGTATCGTGCTCAGAGCTGTCCTGGCGTCTGTCTAACGCACGCACCGCGACGAACATCCTTATAAGTCGAGGAAAATCTTTTCCTTCTTAAAATTCCGTCGCTAGACAAACGCCAATTAGCATACTTTTCATCCCCAGCTCGTTACTCGTTGACTTTACTAGATGTGACTGTCGAACGTCCAATTAGAAATTTAATATCGCGAAACGTCCGAGTGACGTTTCTTAGAAGTAACAATGCGAACAACGAAAATTTAACGGCCAGGGAAGAAAACCACTTTCCATAGAAAACGGTACTCGTACGTAAGTCACGATTCGTTATTGTAATCTCGAAGTTACGATTCTTTTACGCTGCTTCTGCTAGCTTTACGAAGTTTCGAAACTCATTCTTGTCGAGAAGTTCTCTGCCCTAAAATGATCTCGTACGACGTTTTGAAACAGGTCTTCGAATTCGTCTTGAAAATGGCTGTTACCCGCCTAAAGAAAAAAGTATTGCGTTCCATTTAAAACAATGAAGGTACCCTCCATCCAGAAAGAAAATAATTACCGTAACTTTCTTCCTCCCTCGAAACTGATTACTTTTTGTCTGAACAATATTTCAATACGTCTTCAAATTTCACAGATAATCAGTCAACAATTAAATCACTAGGACGGATTCTCTAGATGGACCTCTAGGTGGATTCTAGAAACAAAACCAAGTGGCTCATGACGGATTCTCATTGGTCCTCTTGTCGCAGTCAGTAAGGAACTTATTTATATTTAAAAAAAGGAAACGGAGACATTAGAATTAGACTCAAGTGAGAAATATTTGCTTCTCATTTTTAAGAGAAGAGAATCTACTTTGATATGGTTTCGATTTTATTCTAATACCAACAAAATCACGTCTGTTTAGTTTAGTGTTTAGTAATACCAAGTGAGGTATTATAATTATATCATGTGAAATTTTATATTGGTATTATAATACCAATTATAATATCAAGAAGTCATGAAGACTGTATAAGGAGATCCAACTCCATAAAAAAATTACTAGAAAACTGTTATCAAAATCCCGAGCTTTAAGTTATGAATATTTCACCCACTCGCGGCGCAAGTGCGCACAACTACGATATTGATATGTTATATGTGTGCGTATTATCATATATGTATTATTATATATATAATATATATGATATATGTATATGATATGTATATATATATATATATATATACACATATATATACATATGCATACATACATACATACATATATACATATATACAAAACTATAATATATAGTAGATATATCACAACTTCAAGTTCAGGATTTTGATAATAGTTTTCTAGTGACTTTCTTAGGGAGTTGGATCTCCTTATACAGTCTTCATGATTCTAATATCAACAAAATCACGTCTGTTTAGTAACTAAAATTTCAAATGATATAATTATAGTACCAATTTTAATATTGCAATAGCAATAAAATCAGGTTTGATTAATAATTAAGACTTGATACGATTTTGTTCTAATGCCAATAAAGCCACTTTTATTTAGTGACTAAAACTTGAAACGCCATTCGACCAATGAGATCGTTGTACAATGGAAACTTGGACCGCGGTTGATCGCGAGAGAAGATAGGCGACACGTCGTGAAAAGAGGGACACTAAGGTCCCGTTCTCAAAGCAAATGTTTCGCATCGCACGACCGATTTCCGAAAGCGTTTCGTCGACGCATGTTTCGTCGACGCACATAATGAAGAACAGTCACGGATGGTTACGAGGCGTCCTATCACACGAAGTGTTTCTCGGAAGCGAACGAATCAGAAAAATCAACGGATAGTAGGACACAACGTTCGCCAGACAATTCCTCTATTGCGCAGCAATAGAATGCGAGCGTATCGTTTCAACGAATACCTTGACGAAAGATGCGAAGCGTTTAACAGTGGTTAGCGAAGTGTTCCCTTGTTCCAGTCTTCTTGTCTATAGTGGTATATATGAGTGCGCGTACACAAGCAGCCAGTGCGGTGCACTAGGCGGTGATAAAATCATTTTTCTACGTGCCCTCGAATTGTGTCGTGTTTAGGACGGTGTCGTGCGAAGGTCGTGGACATTTTCGAGATCGTTCGAGAAGCTCGCGCCCCGTAAGCACGTTACGAAAAGGTTAAAACGTAAGGTGGACGATCCTCCTTGGAAAGCCTCGGTAAAATGGCGGTGATCGGTACTCCGATTGGCGCTAAGCGATAGAAGAGGATCGCGTTCCGTTCGCGTTCGCCAAGTTTTGTTTTGATTCAGTTCGAGATATATAATCGCGGAAACCGGTCGATTCGTGTCGCCCCGTCGAATCGTTCGCCCCCTCGGCCCTGTTTTAATCGTTCTGAGAAATTTAAGACTGGCGTCCCGTTAACGGAGATAATAAATCCACTCGAGAGGACGATCAAGGTGGTAAGAACCACCGACGGAACGGTTCCCGACGGCCGCGATGCCGCATCGTTCCGACCTCGAATTTATCGAAAGGCCGAACGACAAGGACGACTCTATCAAATCTTCGTCGGCTTATCTATAGGTGAGTTCTGCCACGAGTGCATCTTCGTCTTTTTTCTCCGCTATTCTCCCCGCGATTATTTTTTCATCGGCCCGTGCCTAGCTCAGAATTGCCATTTTCCTTCCGTATTTACCATTTCCCGTCGAGAATTCCTCGCTGCGCACGGCGCCCCTTTGTTGTTATTTTGTCCTCGAACGGATCCAAGTTAGGTTAGGCCCCTGAAACCGATGACTGTGCATCTTAACGATTCGCTAACGCACACTTCTCCATGAAATGCTCGCGATAATGCATGGCTTTACGCGGAACTTCCACAACTCCGCCAATATGGAGATAATTTACGCGAAATTTTTATGTAACAATTGCCCCCCCGATCCTGTTTCGAGCCATTCGCGTTCAACGTTTCGCCAAATTCCGCATTATAATTAGCTCCTGCTGGTTGGAAAAAGTATTTTATCGATTGCACGAGACTATTTAATACCGACTGTTTCGCGCGGTACTTTGTTAATGTTACTTTGTTAATGTTGAAAATTACCCCTTCCTGATGAAATAATTGATGACTGTTGGTACAAGTTATTTTAAATGTGTATTTAACGTATATTCTTTGAAAATTGCGTATGTTTGTAAGCAAACAATGTTGTGTTGCACGAACAGCTCCAAATTTTCAAGTCATTTTTGTTGGAACGATTCTCATTGATTTGGTATTGATAAAATTTCAAGAGGTAACCGAGCAATTGACTTGAAACTTTACATGCCTTATCAAAATATGTCTACCTGTCTTTAGTATGTAAAATTTAATGTATGAATACTATCATTTTCTTATTTTTTTTTTTTGTAACTAATTGAAGTATTAGTGCTAGCCATTCTTATATGAATTAGAAAAGTATTTTGTTGTTGTTTCTGAGCGAATTTGTTATTATTAGTTTTATCAACATCAACAACACCTATGATTAATACCTATCAGTTATATTTAAATGCAAAAAATAAAACATTCCTTCGAAATGATTCATTTTATTGCTGGATAAACCAAAATCCTGCTTTGATAAAATTAAACTTTTAGAGCTTAACATATTTTTGTGGAACAATTCAGAGACGAAATTTCTAGAAATTTCTAGATTATATGAAAATTTTAAATACTACTCTGTATGTAATTTTGTTAATGTTACTGATACTTATAACACAATATAAATGAAGATCTATATTTAAAATATAAGTGGTATAAGTGGCTCCAAAACTATTTATATGTATGTAAACACATTGTAAATTTAATTGCAAAATAAATTTCAGTTTATAGACTAGTGTTTATTTTTTTTTTGCAAACCTCTCAAGATTTATTATAAGTAAATAATTGTTTCAGATCTTAAATTTGCAAAGGAAGCCATCATCTGCCAAAATGAAAATTGACAGGAGCAGATTGAAAAAGTGCACTTCCGAAGCGGTAAGTACTCTATTATCTGTGTTTTACTTTCTACTTAACAAGTGCTGTATTAAAATATAAAGTATGTAAATTAAATATTGTCTTGGCAAATGTGATTAGCATCGAAAAATGATTTTCTTTCACCCTTCCAATATGTAATTATATCTACTTAAAACATCAATTTTTAATATCCTTGATAAACATCAAGGTAAAGGTATTCTAGAGTTCCCTTAAGAATATCCAGAATGTTCCAGAATGAATCTGAAGTTTAGCTCTGAGTTATGTCTGGGTTATTTTAACGTATAAACACAAACTTCTACTCAAAAACTAAGCCAAAATTATAGGAAAACATTAGAAAAAATCATTTTTCAGTGCACAACTACAATCAATTTCTATTTAATGAAAAATGTTGGCAAGTATCACAGTGGAATTAAATTTTTCCAGCCGCCAGAATGTCAGGCGCTTATAAGCAAGCTATGCTCATGCTCTCATGCAGAATTGCTAGAGGAGCTGAAGCAAATATATGCATGGACCGTTGGCAAATGTGAACTGTTCCATTGGATTGATGTGTTAGATCTTAGCGACAGCATTTTGGAAGAAGCGGCGGCGAGAAGTCCGGATAATCCATGGGAACTAGCCTGTGATCTGCCTCAGAATAGAGAGGTATGAAATTGTTACATAATTTTCTTTTCAATTGTCTTCAAATCTTAATCTTGATCTTTAATAGCGCAATAAAGTATACATCTAAGCGAAGATGATCCTCATCCCACATTATTATTTAATACAGGCAAAAGAACTTCTTCTTTGGGTTCTTCACTTCACAACACTGTTGATTGAACACTCGTTTTCACGGCATTTGTACAACAGTATGGAACATCTGGTGTCATTGTTATCGAGCTGCGATATGAACGTTGTTCTTTGTGTATTAAATCTTCTTTACATGTTTAGTAAACGTAGTAATTTTATTACACGTTTAAACAGTGATAAGAGGCAAGCTTTAATAAATAGGCTTAATCACCTAGCAGAGGTGAGTGTTATTAAATAATAATTAAGAATTATATTTCATATGTTTTTTAAACAAAGATTGCGATTCATAATTATTCCTCGTATTTTAGAGCTGGGGTGGTAAAGAAAACGGTTTTGGTTTGGCGGAGTGTTGTAAAGAATACCCAGATGAGGTAATAGAAATTTCCTGAAACAAATCTTATTCAAAGAATTTATGTCGTACGAAATTTAATAATACTTGGATTTTTTCATTTCTCCAGCCACTTCCAGCGAGTGCCACGACGTTGCATTTCGAATTTTACGCAGAGAATACCAACGCGCCGGATGCATCAGACGCCGCATCGAATTCTGGTACAAAGAAACTT